AGAAGAGCCATTGTTGAAAATGCCTAAGATTATGAAAGAGTTTTAAATTGTAAGGGATTATGAAAGAGTTTGTAGCAGAGAGTGATACGATTGTGGGTGCAAGAGAAGTATGTTATGCTTTGTATTTATAGAGTAAGTGAGGTGGTAGCTGGTGCATGCATGCATGATAAGTATCACTCTTGCAGTGTAGGTGCAGGCTAGGTGGCAGACTTGGAGAAGGCATCTCTGCATGCATGTAACATGATTGGACATGAAGGGAGGCACCATTGGACTTGGCGAAAGAGTACAAAATGAAAGGTGTCGCCATCCCCATTGGAGAATAAGAGGTGGCATGGGTTGCAGAGTAGGCGCAGGCTAGGTGACAGCCTTGGAGAAGGCATCCCTGAATGCATGTAACACTATTGGACATGATGGGAGGAGCCTTAGAGGTTACAGTGTAGGTGCAGAGTAGGCGCAGGCTAGGTGGCAGCCTTGGAGAAGGCATCTCTGCATGCATGTAACACGATTGGACATGATGGGAGGCGCCATTGGACTTGGCGAAAGAGTACTAAAATGAAAAGTGTCGCCATCCCCATTGGCGAATAAGAGGTGGCATGGGTTGCAGAGTAGGCGCATGCTAGGTGACAGCCTTGGAGAAGGCATCCCTGAATGCATGTAACACTATTGGACGTGATGGGAGGAGCCTTAAAGGTTACAGTGTAGGTGCAGAGTAGGCGCAGGCTAGGTGGCAGCCTTGGAGAAGGCATCTCTGCATGCATGTAACACGATTGGACATGAAGGGAGGCGCCATTGGACTTGGCGAAAGAGTACAAAAATAAAAGGTGTCGCCATCCCCATTGGCAAATAAGAGGTGGCATGGGTTGCAGAGTAGGCGCATGCTAGGTGACAGCCTAGGTAACACTATTGGACGTGATGGAAAGAGCCTTAGAGGTTGCAACCTTTGTTACTTCAAATTCAGTATGACCTGTTTAGTCTTACATTTATCAAAACACTGATTCACTTAATCTCTCAAACCTTCCAACCTTCAAACCTTCAAACAATCAAACCTTCAAACCTTCCAACCTTCAAACAATCAAACCTTCAAACCTTCAAACAATCAAACCTTCAAACCTTCAAACAATCAAACCTTCAAACCTTCAAATAACTCATAAACTTCAAACCTTCAAACAATCATACACAATGGCCTCTGCACCCCAATATGTCATCGATGCACATTTCAACGGTGAGACATACAATTGTCCCACCTCTGGGTTTTTGTTTAAAGACACAGACAACATTCGATTTTGTTTAAACAGGAAAGCCAATTTCTTATACTTCAAAAAACGATTGGAGGCCAAACTTGGACGAGGCCCAGTGACACAAATATTTTATCAGAATCCAGTTTTTTTTGGTAACAACCAAATAATATTATATAAGGTTGAGGTTCAAGATGACGAGGATCTTCAGAATATGTTTTCCAGTCATGAGTATTCTGGGTACGACTCTATTGAGTTGTACATTATGCTGCAAGAGCCTCAGGTGACACAAGTGGTTGATCCTTCGGAGACCGAACAAGCAGAGGTAGATGCAGTTGATGAAGAAGAAGATGACGAGTTAGAGTTTGACGAAATGGTCAATGATGATTCCGAAGACGATGGGATACCTGGTATTCCTACAAACGAGATCTACACACCACCTCCGCACATGACAAACTTCAACATGGGCGGAGATAAATCGTCTTCTGATTTATTTTTCAATCCGTATATGTAATCGGATGAAAACTTAAAAGAGAAAGACAAGTTTCGTAACAGAGAAGAATGTATAAGAGCCATCAAAAAAATCCACATGCTCAACTCGGTCGATTTTAAGGTGGACCGTGTAAACCCAGAAAGGTACAAGATCAAGTGTGTCCACCCTGATTGTATGTTCAAGCTCACTGCATCATACAAGTTAAGAGGTGATTGTTGGGTCATAGGTTCCATGTCTACCCACACTTGTGTCAGTTATACTCAATCACGGGATCACCGAAAACTTAATTATAATCTCATTTGTCAAGAAATCCTACCACTCGTCAGCAATGATCCATCTTTGAAGGTGAAAACCATCATCTCTCGCATCACTACGGTTTTTAACTATATTTCGTCTTACCGTAAGGCGTGGTTAGCAAAGACCAAGACAATTGAAAAGGTATACGGAAATTGGGAGGAGTCATACCAAGAACTTCCTCGCTACCTGAATGCACTCCAGACTTATTCTCCGGGTAGTGTTTACATTCTGGAAACAGTGCCAGCATACGCCCCGGATGGTAGTCAACTCAACGGAAATGGAATATTCAGTCGAGTGTTTTGGGCATTTCAACCTTGCATCACAGGGTTTGCATCATGAAAACCAATTATACAAATTTATGGGACTTGGTTGTATGGGAAATACAAAGGCACGCTACTGATGGCAGTTGCACAAGATGGCAACAACAACATTTTCCCAATTGCCTTTGCCCTAGTCGAGGGGGAGACTGGTGGTGTTTGGAGCTTTTTTTCTGAAAAATCTATGAACACACGTGGCTCCTCAACCAGATCTCTGTTTGATCTCGGATAGACATGCATCCATTGAAAGTGCATACAATAATCCTGCAAACAGTTGGCATGACCCTCCTTCTACGCATGTCTATTGCATTAGACATATCGTCTAAAATTTCACGAGGGAGATCAAAGACAAAACACTAAGGAAAGCGGTTATGAATGCGGGATATGCATTGATACAACCTACATTCAAATATTACCGCAACGAGATCTGTTTGTCAAATTCGGAAGCCGATAGGTGGATCGACAATATTCCGGTAGAAAAATGGACTAGGTCATACGACAATGGCCAAAGATGGGGGCACATGACAACAAATCTAATTGAATCGATGAATGGGGTATTCAAAGGCATACGAAATCTCTCGGTCACTACTTTGGTAAAATATACGTATTTTAGGATGGCTTCGTTGTTTTCCAAAAGAGGTGAAATATGGAATGCGGTGTTGCAATCTGGACAACTATGGAGTGAAAGCTGCATGAAGTACATTAAGGCAGAAAGTGCCAAAGCCAACACCCATATGGTTATACGGTTTAACCGGCACAGCCACAACTTCATTGTGAAAGAGACAATCGACCACAACGAGGGTCTGCCAAGACAAGAATATAGGATTGTACTACCTTCTCGTTGGTGCGATTGTGGCAAGTTTCAAGCCTTTCGTATGCCTTGCTCTCATGTCATTGCCGCGTGTGCCTATACTCATCAAGACGCGCTACAACTTCTGTCACACATTTACAAATCTGAAACATTGATCAACATTTACAACAACAACTTCCATTTGGTAGCAAAACCAAATTATTGGCCTGCATACAACGGTGAAATAGTATGACACAATGGCCAAATGCGAAGGAGCAAAAAGGATCGTCCCAAAAGTAAGCGCATCACAATCGAAATGGACTCCCTTGATAAGCTGGAAAGAAAGTGTGGTTTATGTCATCACGTCGGACACAGTCGCAAAAATTGTCTGAATCGGGCTACTGCCTCGACCACATAAAAATTGTATTACATAAAATCTTTCCTTTATTATGTTATAAACATTAGGGTTTTTCGTTAACAGTATTTGTTACAATAAATATTGCGCGTACAAGAAAAAAATACGATATTCCGTCTACGAAATTACAATTGTTAAAACAATATCATATGACCCATGCATCATCAACATTACGTCGCTGTCTGTTTTGACTTCCTCCAACCAAACATTAGGTCTTCCTGTCGCATGTGAGGTTGTTGTTCGTCTTCGCTGGATCCTTCAAATTTTTCCCCTCCACGATGTCTCCATCTAGCCATCGCATCCACTCCCGCTTCAGACACTCCATGGAGTGAATGTGCCAGAATTTCATTTTCATCGCAGGTTTTGTGGCGGAGAAGATAACATAACCATCTCTGGTAAAAATCATGGGTGATGTCATGACACAAATAACAGAGTAAAAAATAAGAAAACAGTGCGAGAAAGTGTGAGAAATGACGGAGAAACTGACAGATTATTTATAAAAAACAGCATTTTGCCCTAGGAGCCAAGTGAGATGGCGCCTCCTCTCACTTTTGTAGTGCATGCGTCATCTCACTTGGCTAAAAGAGAGAGGAGGTGCCAAGTGAGATGGCTCCTCCTTTGAAGAATCATCTGAAACATGGTTATTTGCGTAATTTTTTCTGAAATATGATTATTTACGATTTTTTTTTAATACTTGTTATTTCAAAAAAAAATTCTAGTTTGTTGATATATTTAAGCTAAACTTTATTATAAAATTAATTTAAAATAATAAAGAAAAAAATTTAGTAGAAAGAATAAAACTAATGAAAATGCTCATTAACAAGAAAGTATAAAAGCAATAAAGTCAAGAAATAAATCTCAATCATTCATTTATATCATTCTTCTATAATTCTTATTAAAAAGGAAATTAAATTTAAAATTACTTAAATGATTCTTAATAGTATTACTCTAAAATTAATAGATGTTATTTGTTGAAATATTTTTTTCATAAATATAACTTTTTAATATTAAATAAAATATACTAGTAGGACAAACACATGTCAATTCCAAAACAAAACTAATAAAAAATCATTTCTTTATTGTTTTAAAGGGATAATTCAGTGCACGATATTTCTATTTTATTTTATAGATTCTGAGAGGTTAATGTACGCAGTTTTATCTCTATTTTTATGACAGAGAGGTTGTTTCCCGCATGGATCGAACTCGTGTCGTAATGAAACAACCTTTTCAACCTTATCGTGTGAAGCTATTAATTGTTTTTCAAACAAACAAACTGGCGATGTTCCTTCAAGGCCCCGCTGTTTTCAGTTGACTCCAAAACCTGAATATTCCACAATATATGCCAATTCCTTTTATAGTTTCTTCTCGTTTAATTCATATACTTTTAGTATAAATATTAAATGCAATAGATTTCTTTGTGATATTTTTATTAGGGTCTTTGAGTTTCAGAAATATGGATCTTTTTCAAGGTTTATTGGTTCTACTAGGTTTGGTTTTGAATTTGGTGTTGCTCTCTAGTGGAGGTACTACTAGTAGTTTTGTTAGGAATGTTGAGAAGGCTGTTGATATGCCTCTTGATAGCGATGTTTTTGCTGTTCCTTCTGGTTATAATGCTCCCCAACAGGTATACCTTTTTTTTCTTTTTCAATTTTGAATTGATTCCAATAATCAACTATTAGTTATCAGTCATCAGATATAATCTATTTGTAAAGTTATTATGATATGGCATTTTTGTTTGATGTTTGTTTGCTTTTTTAGGTTCATATAACACAAGGTGATCTTGTGGGGAAAGCTGTGATTGTTTCGTGGGTGACTGAGGATGAACCGGGGTCAAATGCGGTTCGTTACTGGCGTGAGAGTAGCAAGCGGAAGAAGTTAGTTAAAGGGAAAATTGTTACTTATCGATTCTTCAATTATACATCTGGTTTTATTCATCATGCTACTATAAGGAATTTGGAGGTACTTTCGTGTCATGAATGTTGTTTCGTTTTCAGATGTTAAGAAAGATCTTGAGATTAACGAATTGGATAGGAACATGGTTTTGGATAGAATATATAATAGAATTTGATTCATGTAACCGATCCAAATTAGTTGATGATATTTGTGTTTATTTTTGGACAGTATGATACAAAATATTATTACGAGGTTGGACTTGAAAATACAACAAGGAAGTTTTGGTTTACAACTCCTCCTCAAATTGGTCCTGATGTTCCATACACATTTGGTCTCATAGGTAAAACAAGCATGTTCGCATTAACTCATGTTCCATACCATAGGGTAGAATGTTTGTTATTAACTGATGTATCATTGTTTGTAGGGGATCTTGGTCAGAGCTATGATTCAAACAGGACGCTTTCTCATTATGAATTGAACGCGAAAAAAGGGCAAACAGTGTTGTTTGTTGGAGATCTTTCTTATGCAGATAATTACCCGAATCATGACAATAATAGGTGGGATACTTGGGGAAGGTTTGCTGAGAGGAGTGTTGCTTATCAACCGTGGATATGGACTGTTGGAAACCATGAAATTGATTTTGCTCCAGAAATTGTAAGCTTTCCATAGAAATTGATTAAATTTGATCTACGAAGCACATACGCCGAATAGGACACCGACACTAGTACTATTTGATGTTTGTGTCAGATATCAGACACGCCTTCCATAGATTTTAACCATTTGTGTAGAGAATTTTACAAATCCGAATTTTGATAATGATTAACATGGACCGATGATTGTTTGCAGGGTGAAACAAAACCATTCAAGCCTTTTTCTCACCGATACCGTACTCCTTATAAAGCATCACAAAGTACTTCACCCTTTTGGTATTCTATCAAAAGAGCTTCAGCACACATCATTGTCTTGGCCTCCTATTCAGCATACGGTATTGCTAAATATCTCTTCCACCCCATAGATAATTAGATATACGCTTAACCGTATTTGGTCACTGACTCGCTGTTTTCAAAGTTGTTTATCTGATGGTTTATTTTTCTCAGGAAAATATACACCACAATACAAATGGCTTGAACAGGAGCTACCGAAAGTTAACAGAACAGAAACTCCTTGGTTGATTGTTCTCATGCATTCACCTTGGTATAATAGCTACAACTATCATTACATGGAAGGTGAAACAATGAGAGTAATGTACGAGCCATGGTTTGTGAAGTACAAGGTTGATGTTGTGTACGCTGGCCATGTCCATGCCTATGAACGTTCCGTAAGTGCTATTATACTTGGAAGCCGCTCAAATTAGTTTCTGCTATAATCACATTTTAGATTTTTTTCTTCCATGTTCTGGTAGTTTCGAAAGTAGATTTACTATTCTTTCTTTGGTCTCAGGAACGTGTCTCGAATGTTGCGTATAATATTGTAAATGGTATTTGCACTCCGATAAAAGATGACTCAGCTCCTGTATACATAACCATTGGAGATGGAGGGAACCTTGAAGGCTTAGCAACCAAGTAAGTTCCACACTTCCTCTATTCCTCTTTATTTGTCGCTTTAAGGTTTAGAAACCGTGAGTATCAGGGTTCGAACCCGGCTGATAATGTCCAACCTAACCACATCGGCTTCTGCCAGTTGAGCTAGGATTTGCGGAAAATGTAGGTGTGTTTTATAGAGCTAAGTCTGATTTAAACATGATTTGAACTGCAGCATGACAGAACCACAACCATCTTACTCGGCGTTCAGAGAAGCTAGCTTTGGACATGCGATATTTGATATAAAGAACAGAACACATGCTCACTATAGCTGGCACAGGAATCAAGATGGTGAAAATGTTGAGGGTGATTCTCTTTGGTTTTTCAACAGATTTTGGCACCCAGTTGATGATTCTTCAGCTCATGTTTCCCATTAACACGTTGATTTACTTTTCAGAAGTGAATAATGTCATGATTATGTAACAATTGTTTGTGCATCACTACTAGTACCATCAATTCTGATTATCATTACCTTTCAATTTACTTTGTACTAATATAAACTCAAATTTAAACAAGGGTTGAAAATAGATATTACAACATGAATGAGATGGTGAAATTGTGACTCTAGTATCTTCATAATAAATTATGGCAATATGGCAGACTAATTATGACTGGAATAATAAAGAAGAAATATAAAAGAAATTGAATGAAAATCATATTATTAATGCTTGACTATATCAAGATATAGCCTTAAGTGTAACAACAATCATTAGCAGGTGTAAAAAGTCAAAATATGACAATTAAAAAAAAATAAATGGAGTATCTTAATAATTAATTAAGTTTTAGCTATTTCTCTCTTTAATTAAAAAAATATTTAATGGGTGTATATGGAATTTCACTAGTTCAAGTGGAAAGCAAAATTTATGATATATTTCAAGTATATTTAAGATTAATAGAGACTTGTTAATAATGCACATACTTTATAGTAAGAAAATTATGAATCTTGATCGAGTAAAGAATAATTAAGGTGATTAGGTAATGCACATGTTTTATGTATTTGAGTAGTGATAAGTATAATATAATGAGATATTGTCAGGCTGAAATCTCAAGGTTGAAATTACTTAGTTGGTACCATCATTATTTTGATATTTTGTATAATTTTTCAATTTTTAATTTGACTGTTATTATTTCAATTTGTGTGTAATCCGTTTATTTGATTAGAATTATACATCGAGTCATCCTCAAATTCAATAAAAAATATTTGAATATGTATAAATGTATTTTTCTAAGCTTAAGCAAGTTGATCAAAATCAACATCTTTTGTGCATCTTGAATCACAATTTTGAAAATTTAAAACAAGATCTTTTTAAGCTTGATTCTAATCAAACATCAATTTGAAATATGAGTTTTGCAATTGATCATTTGATTCTAATCAATGATATATGTGGTTCGAATCACAATATTTCTTGAATCGAATCCAAATTTTATTTGACTAGAATCATGACAGTACACTTTTTTAAAAAAACTACCATGATTCAAATCACTCTTTTTTTTTTACTCAAATCATGAGTGAAAATCATGATTCAATCAAAATGACAACAAACACATTTATTATCTTGATTCAAGTTATTTTTTTTGCTAATTCAAATAATAACAACATGATTTGACTCGAATCATTTGTTATATTCCTCTTTATTTTGTGCCTAACTCCTACACTACTACAAAACGCGTAAACAACAACGTCATGGTCACCACAGTGACATCTCTAAACTAAGGCGCTATCATATTTATTTTGTATTTAGATTAAAAATTATTTATATATAACAGCGGTTGAATAACCAACCGTAGTGATTCAATCAAATTTTCATAGGTTTGAACCTCAGCGCCATAATATATTATATTTCTTTAATGTTAAGACGCAACTTTTCTTTTTTATTTATTTTAAAACTCACAAATAAAAGGGGTATCTCTACGGTGATTTTGATTAACCTTTGTGATATATTTATAAATAAATATTCATCAATACGGTTGGAAGTGTTAATCATTATGAAAGAGTTTACTCATATATAACTTATTGACAATAGCGTTGTTTCCTTCACTGTGAAATCCTAGCACTCATTTTTTTCTCTTCTTCACCATTAGCCGTGAATCTTGTGCTTCACACGTTAAGGTATTATTATTATTCTTCCTTCATCTTGTTAGGTAGTTCCTCATTATCTCGTTTGTTGCATGTTGTTTTTGTTGATTGTTCTCATTTTTTCAGATTCGTCTTCACTAACTTTACAAAACTATACTTTAGCTATGGTACATATTTTTGTGTAGCTATGGAAAAAAGTACAAGAAGCATGAATCTATGATGGAAACTTCACCCACATTGTATTTCTTCTTCATAGCTTCACAAACAAGGTGTTTTTCGTACTCTATTGATAAATAAACTTGCAGTTTTACATGTTGATAATATTCATGGTGTTTGTAGGACTCAAGAAACAACAACAATAGAAAACTTCATCTAGTTTGAGAAGCTATGAGAAGAAATATAAGAAATATGAAGCTATTGTGTAAACTTCATCCATCTTATATTTCTTTCTCATGACTTCACAAACTAGTTGAACCTCATACGATGATGATGATGGTGGTAGCAAGTGTATAGTATGAGTTGATAAGGTACATATGGTTTGTGTAGCAATGGAAAAAAATACAAGAAGTATGAAGTCATTGTGGGAACTTCATTCACCTTGTATTTTCAATAAAAGGTGTGTTCTATAAACAACTTAATATATTTTGTGATATTGTATATTGTTAGTGTTTTGTTGCTATAATGTGTGTTTTTTTTGTGTTACAGGTATTTGTTGTGTTGTTGTATGATGGTTTTGTTGACAAATATTCTCAAAACAAGAACAAAACATTGTTAACTCATAAGAAAAATTCTTCTTGTGACTTAACAATATTTTGTTCTTTAAATTCTTATACATGTTGACATGTCAAGATGAAGTATAGTTTATTATATAGTATGTATATTGTTTGTTTCACTATCCATGTAAATTAATTTGATGTTTTTTGTAGATAAATATTGTTAGAGAGTTTAATGTATCATATGAGATTGTTTGTTTCACTAACCCCTCATTGAACTTGCACTCGTTTAAAAAGATTTTTAAAATAATAATTCAAAAAATTAAGTTATTCTTGATAATCAACTTAGACGATCCAATGTTTTTTCGAATTGCATACATCTTGTAAATCATAATTCCCTCTTTAGCATATAGAATTTCATTCAATGTCACAAATTATTCAAAACAATATGTAAGAACAAGATTTGGTTCTACAATATCATCTCTGAGTTTTGATGATAACAAATGAGTATGTTTGTATAAACAATTTTGTTACACTAATGTTTGTTATTATTGAGTACTTAACAAACAGGTTCTGCTTCTGATGGATGGTGTGGCCAAGACATTATAAGAGAATTAATTTTGCTTCTACGCTACATAAGTTCTATTGAACAGTAGCAAGACACTCTAGAAGGCTCTGAAGTGTAAGCTTTTATGTTTGTCTAAAGAAACCAGTCAGAAGATCTAAAGACATAAGTTGTTACTTAAGTCCAGATGCTAAAGACTCATGTTTCTGAAGACAACGAGTTCTAAAGAAACAGTCAGAAGATCTGAAGACAAAAGCTTCTACTTACGTCCAGATGCTAAAGACTCAAGCTTCTAAAGACAATATTTTTTAAGGAAACAGTCAGAAGATATGAAGACTCGAGTTTCTACTAAAGTCCAGATGCTAAAGACTCAAGTTTCTAAAGACGGTGCATTTCAAAGAAACAAAGTTAGAAGATCTGAAGACAAAGGTTCTACTGAAGTTTAGATGCTAAAAACTTAGTTTCTAAAAGGTAACTTGTTTCAAAAAAGACAAAGTTAAAAGATCTGAAGACAAAGTTTCTACTCAAGTCCAGATGCTGAAGACTTGTGTTTCTAATAAAAAGGTTCTTAAAAGAATTCTTAAAGAACCAAGTGCTAAAGATTCTAAAGACGGAAGTTCTGAAGATTCCAAAGAGTTGAAGTTCTAAAGATCCAAGGTTCTCTATAACGGGTTCTCAAGACCAAGTGTTGAAGACTCTAAAGACAAAGCTCTTAAGACTCTGAAGACTTGAAGCTCTTCTGATCCAAGGTTCTTTACAATGGGTTCTCACGACCAATGTTGAAGACTCCGAAGACGCGGTTCTGAAGACTCTGAAGACTTGAAGTTTTGAAGACCTTATGTTATATTCTCGCTTCTAAACTTATGCTTGCAGAAGCCTATGAAGGATAGAAGGAAAGAATATAACGGTAACATGGTACAATAGTACACAATTGTTTGCTGGGAATTTAGACCAGGATAATAAAGGAATCATTCATTTAAATTTCCACAAGATGGCTTGAAAAAGCTATAGACGAAGTATGTTGTTACTGGATCTGAGTCGAAGAAAACAGTTTGAAAGGACAAGTGTTTTTGTTTTGTCAAAAACGCACGTTTCGACGGCCACGTGAGAAAGTTGTTGCTGAAGGCTTGAGCGGGATTGTTTGAAATTCGAAATAGTTTCTTTGGATAAGAAAGATGCGTGGAAGCCTTAGAGTGTCGAAAGAAATGCAAGAAGCGACGTGGCTTTTCATTAGAATAATACCATTATGGTTAGAACATTATAAATAGTTCCTTAGTGTTAGGGAGAAATGACGATCATAATTCGTACAAAATTACTCATAAGATACTCAAGTACCAAGTTACAGATAAAGAGTTCATTGAGAATATACATATTTACAATAGCGCCGTTTCCTTCACTGTGAAATCCTAGCACTCATTTTTTCTCTTCTTCTTCTTCACCATTAGCCGTGAATCTTGTGCTTCACACGTTAAGGTATTATTCTTCTTCTTCCTTCATCTTGTTAGATAGTTCCTCATTATCTCGTTTGTTGCATGTTGTTTTTGTTGATTGCTTTCATTTTTTCAGATTCGTCTTGACTAACTTTACAAAGACCATACTTTAGCTATGGTACATATTTTTGTGTAGCTATGGAAAAAAGTACAAGAAGCATGAATTTATCATGTAAACTTCATCCACATTGTATTTCTTCTTCATAGCTTCACAAACAAGGTGTTTTTCATACTCTAATGATAAATAAACTTACGATTTTGCATGTTGATAATATTCATGGTGTTTGTAGGACTCAAGAAACAACAACAATAGAAAACTTCATCTAGTTTGAGAAGCTATGAGAAGAAATATAAGAAATATGAAGCTATTGTGTAAACTTCATCCATCTTATATTTCTTTCTCATGGCTTCACAAACTAGTTGAACCTCATATGATGATGATGATGGTGGTAGCAAGTGTATAGTATGAGTTGATAAGGTACATATGGTTTGTGTAGCAATGGAAAAAAATACAAGAAGTATGAAGTCATTG